GAACCCGAGGCCCGCAAACAGTGAAACATGCTTATCTGACGGGGCGTCGTGGCCAAATTCTACGAAGGCTGACGTGATGGCCGACGTTACTGATGGTAGCAACGGCCAGACGTGCAGGCCTCCCCACATGGGGCCTTGATCATACAAGTCCAGATCGAAACGAGTCACGACTCCAAAGTTATTGCCACCACCGCGAAGCGCTCGGTAGAGATCCGGGTGGGTGGAGTGCGAGACGTCAAAGATGCTGCCATTGGCAAGGACAATCTAGCATCACGTCAGTCTCTCGTGTGGCAAACGTGGGGTCTCGCATTGTAATCCCGGTCCCGACTTACCTCGTAGTTGCGAACGTTGTCGCACGCCAACCCATGTAATCCAGACAAATGGCTAAGCCCACCGCCCAGAAGCAACCCTCCAACACCAACTCCAGTCAGTCGGCCCCCAACAACAGTCTTGTTCGTCTTATCAAGCTCCTTGAAGACCGCCCCCCACTTTGCGCCCGCTCCTATTCGAGCTACGCCGGCACTCGCGTCCACTTTGACATCGCCTAAGCCGGCCATGTTGACGGTGATCCCACCATGACTATTACTGAATCCGGGGATATCTGAGTGCCCGCCCCCGCGGACGGCGAAGGGACACCCCGTGGAGCGCGACGTCTGCACCACGAGTGCGACGTCCTGTGCCTCACGGGCGTGGACGAGGCAGGCCGGCCGGACGGCCTGCTGCTGCTGCGACCAGTACAGAGACCCGACCTCCACTCTCGCCCCAGCGATAGGCTGCTGCTGGAACTCTGCAATGTAGTCGCCAACTGACTCGACGGATAGCTGACTAGATAGCGAGACGCACTATCGATGTCAGGGGGATGTGACTGACTGTCCTGACGGTGGAGCTGTACGTACCGCACTCTGGCATGAATTGTAGTCTGCTATGAGGCCTTTAGTCGCCGCAAGGGGAGCAAAGAGGACGGAGATCCAAGTCAAGGTCGATGATTGACGCATTATCGTTTAGTCCGACGCGGCAAACCAAGGATTCTGAATACCGGAGAATGACGAAAGTTGAGCCAATAATATTGGGTGTAACGTGGGCGCAATATCGGAATCTGGCTGCCTGCTTCTTCCCAGAAGAATCTGCTTCTAATTACTTGCCCATTATTCCAGCCCACGATTCTCAGGCTTAAATAGGCAAGAAGAGGTCATGGTCGAAAGCCGCCCCGTCCAGATCCCAGCAGATGCATTCAAAGACTGGGCATGACGCTCTCCTGTAGACACACCCTTCGCTACGGGTACTCGTCCCATTAGTCCTAGTTGCATTCTTTTGGAAAGGCCGGTCTCGCCCTATCAAGCCAGAGTGTGGAGTGCAAGTCGGCCCGCCCCGGGTGTAACCCTGCAGGGGCGGGAGGATATCACTGCTCTCCACACGATGCAGATAGGCGTTATTGAGGATTTACCGTGCAGTAGTCCTTTCTCCAACGGCCCGACTCCTGAAGGATTCTGAACTTGGCGCATCCTTCGCTGCGTAAATGGGTCCAATGACGGCGGTGTATTTACGAGAGCCGTTTGCGAGTATGTCTTGCAAGCTAAGCATGGTGGCATTTACGGGCCACGTCGGATTAATTCTGTCTGAAGCGAAATATAGGGTGGTATTGATTCCTCAGTAGGATAACGAAAGACATATGCGGTAAGCGCTAAATCAACGTTGTATCGACATCCCGCACCAAGAAAATGACCTATAGAGAGGTCGTTATACAGCATGCGTCACAAATCCGCGACCCATCCAACTCGTCTATCCCAACGTGGCGATCCCCTTTGTGCTTAGCTTTGCAAGGCACAGGCGGAGCATGGGGTTGGCTTCTCCCGTCAAACGCTCCAGTCGGTCGATTTCCGACTCCAGCTCCCGCTCCACGTCCCGCAAGCAGTCGAGCGTCTTGTCAAACGCTCCACACTTGCGTAAGCAGCTCACCAGATGCGCCTTGCTCTCCTTGGAAAGCGGAGAAGCGGTATTCGTGGCCACCGTCGGTCGCTGCCTGAACACGCCAAGGATGTGTCCGCGATATTCCGGGTGGTTGGCGAGGCAGTAGACGATGGGGTACGAGAACTTGCCCTCGTCCAGGTCCTCGCAGAGACCCTTTTGGGCCGCGTAGTCTCCGAAGTTCATGTAGTCGTCCCGGATCTGGAAGAAGCGCCCGAAGAGCAGGATCAGCCGCTCGAAGTCGAGGCCTGGTGTCTCCGTAGCTGTGCTCTCGGCCTGCATGACCCGTAGCAGCATCCTGAACATGCCGCCGGTCTTGTGGTCAATCATGTTGACGTACTCGGCCTCGGTAGGGCATGCCAGGTTGAACTTCCAGTACAGGTCCCAGCTTTGCCCGAGGTAGAGGCCTTCAAGCTCTTCAAGCACTGCTGTCAGTGCAGCTGGGCTGAGACTCTGGGCTACTTCCTGCACTGCTCTGACGAACATGAAGTTTGCGCTGTTGATGGACTGGGCTTGCCCGAAGATGACGTGGGCTGATGGGAGCCCCCGCCTGAGTGGAGAGTTGTCTTCCAGGTCGTCCAAAATGAGTGATGCATTGTGCAACAGGTTTACAACTGACGTGATTGTCTTTACCGCTGCTGAAGGCACGTGTAGCCAGGTGTTGAGAGCATCAATCAGGGCGGCGCGGACACCTTTGGAAGGCATTCCTGAGATGTAGGCTGCCGGCGCATCCATGGCCAGGCTGGACGGTTTGTAATGGGGGTACTGGGAGACCGTTTGAATGTCGTTTTTTTGACACAAAACATCTGTGTCCATGCTTCTCTTTTTCTGAACAGATGGCTCTTGTTCTGGACTTGCCATTCTGTACTGGGAGAGTTTTCTTTTGGTTCCGTTGCCATTGACAACAGTTTTGGCACCGTTTCCGTTGGGGATGGCGTTGCCACCGTTACCGTTCGAGAGAATCTTGATGTCGTTGCTTTGAAGATTGGTACCAGTTTTATTAGTGATGGGTTCAGTCTTGAACCCGTTTCCGTTGTAAATTTTATAAAGACCATGGCCGTTTTGGCCATTTGAAAGTGTTTCGTTCTTCCACGCGTTTTGTCTCGGACAAGCAGAGCACCAATAGTGGTTTCCTGAGACCGCTAGGCCAGCACAATCAATCCATCTTCTCAACTTCGATGATATGTTGGGTCGAGCTTTGTAGAGATCATCGCGGCGTTGACAGAAATCACCTTCTGACTTGATGATCCTGGATTTGACCGCCTCCTTGGCATCCTCAACTGAAAGTTCCATTGTTCGGGCAAACAGCTCCACGGCGCTCACAATCCTCTTGGACTGACCAGACTGGACTTCTCTCAGTTCGCGCTCCCAGCTGAAGTAGTCATTCGCCAATAAAAGACCTTCAGTGGCCGCGTCAATGATGGGCTGCACGAGCTCGTGCTCCGCTTCCGAGAGGGATATTCCCAAGCTGAATTGCAGCATTGGCCAGAAAACTCTAGGGCCTGATCAGATTTGAGTTTGGAGATGCGGAGAGGATTTGCTTACAGCATGCCGCCGTTGTCACTGCGGTATTGTAGATATTCTTCTAGTGTCTGTGCCTCCTTGTCGCTGTTCTTCTCGCTGATAGCGAGCCAGACATCACGAAACGCAGCGAGCATATTCAATCCAAGCTCATGGTCGAGGTTGATACACTCGAGCATGCACTGTGAAACAAGCTTCTTGGTCTTCATTGCCCTTGAGTCAGGATCCAGACTGCTCTTGTCGTCTGGGTCCAAGGCAGCATGGAGCTCATCGTGCTCGGCTTGGGCTTCCTCGATGCTGAGGCCCTCACCAGTGTCTGAAGGTTTGTCAGATTTCATACTACGGGCAGGAATCTGGAAGGTAAAACTTACCGTCATGAATCAGGCCCAAATCCGAAAGATATGCCAAAACCCCCAGACGCTCGGGAATGGCTTCGGGGTAAATTAGGGAAGACCAGTTGCCTACAGGCGAAAAAGAGAAGTAAGTCTTCTTCTCTCGGCCATCTCCCATTTCCCTGGCCCAGTCACCGACAAACCGCCGGCTGGCTGCATCAGCGAGGTCGTCCCGTAAGTGAATTCGGATCGGAAGGGTTGTGAAGCAACCCGTCTCTCGAGCTTCCTCCGCCGGCACGTGTCTCGATCGATACAGTAGCGGATCCATAATTGATAAAAACAGGATAAAATGCTTCGCGAAAGTTCAATTACCCGTCTCCAGAGATGAAATGAACATATGTTGATAGCAGAGTTAACCATCTTGTTGTTCTTTCTTCGAGTTTAGATACTTGCATTATCCTGTTACCTTACTCGACTTCGTTGATAGTTGTCTGCCGCGTCAACAGCTGCTCCCGAATAGGCTGTGATAAGCCCACGTTCTGGGCCTGGCATGTGTGGCGGTTTAGGTCTCGGCAGGCTTGGCCGATAACGAGACACCATCACCATCGCAAATGCAGGGCAGTTGACTTCGTTGTGGAGGTAGGGGTCTAGGGCTTCAATGCTACGTAAACTTACATGTTACGTGATAAGGGCCGGCAGGGATGTGTCCCATATATTCGGAGCGCGAAGACGCGTACCAATAGAGATCGGCGATCTCTGTGTAGTGGACCCTGATTGTGTCATTTTCTGGAGGTGAGCAGAATCATGGGAAAGTTTGAACTCGTCTGGTTCCGTAATTTTGAACACCTATACTCGTAAGCGCTAGTGTAAAGCTCGTGCAAAGGATTCAGAGCCTGTAAAGGAAGGGGGTGGTAGAAAGAAAAAGGATTTCAGAGGCCTGCCTTGCTTCAGTAGCCTCTGATATTGCTCCGCCGTGAATCAGTGTCCCCGAATTTTATCCCCAGTCTCCCCTTTAGCTTTTGATATGTCGCTAGCTAGCATTCCCGGAGCCGAAGCTTCGGGAGAGCTCGCAAAGACCAACCGTACGTACGGGGTTAGAAATCGATCTCAAGAACTGACGTCCCATCTCAGCCCCTCCATCTGGTCTTGCTTTCTCACTGAAGACAATCACGAACCTACACCATGGGCTTCACTTCACCATTGTCGACCTGGAGTTTGGGACAGCAATTAGGTCTTGCATTGGTTATCGTGTGTCATACTCTGTGGAAGCGATCAAAATGGTTATTGTTCTGACATTTCTTTCTCTTTCAGTTGACGCTTGCCCTCGTGTCAGTCGTTATCTATGGCTGCTTCTTGCATCCTCTCCGCCACGTTCCTGGCCCATTTCTGGCCAAATTCTCTCCGGTTGGTCTATTCTCTCAATATGTGCGCGAATAACGATTAAATGATGAAAACAGCTATGGATTATGAGGGCTCTGCACCGCATGCGATTTAACTCGGAACTGCAAGCTCTCCATCAACAATACGGTAGGCCCTCAGCATCAACGACCAAAGCTGTTTGACTGACGTGATTCGTCCGTTTCAGGAAACGTCGTGCGAATCGGACCCAACGAAGTCTCATTTGCTTCACTTGAAGCAGAAACAGCAATTTACGCGAAACAAGAGGACGGTCGCTTTTCCAAGGCTGGGACCTTCTTGACGCTTTTCTCGGACCTCGTACTGAACGCTCCGACCCTCATTACCATACCCGACCCTGTACTTCACAGGAAGTTGCACAAGGTGATCCAGCAAGCCTTCACCCCTCAAGCGCTTGCAAGGCAAGAACCTATCCAGAAGCTGCATATTGACATGGCCATGTCCGAATTGGAAGAACTTGCCAAGAGCGGCGGTACCGTGGACATTGCTGACACATTGGAGACGATGTTCTGGGAGATCATTGGTGATCTTGCTTTCGGTGAACCTCTCATGTCTGGAAAGCGTCGTAAGTTGAAAGCAGTACCTTGGACATGCCGGCAGAAATAATGCTAACAAAGCTTCCCAGCTACTTACGAGTCATTGAAGCAGCTTGGTAAATCAACGATGCCCATGGTCGAAGCCTTGAGCTTTTTCCTCGCCCTGCCTGGGATTGCTTCAGTATTTGGGATTGCTAGAAGCCTCATCACAGTATTGCCGTTTCCGTCGCAAGTCTCCAAGCTTGTGCCATCTTCTAAGTTGCGCGAGTGAGTATTTCATCAAACCTCTTGATCATTCTAGTGATCTGATACGAATTTCGAACAGCTGCGCCGAAAGGCAAGACGGAAGAGAAGACTTCCTCACCGCTATCATGGGCAGCGAGAAGCAAGACCTGACGCTCGACGCGGATGCATTCTTCAGTAATGCCATGGGCCTGACGTATGTACAAAACAATTTCCTCAATGCGACTTTTGCTTAGAGAAACCGCAGCCTGGCCGGATACCAGACAACAGCTACGACACTGGCCGCCACTTTCTACCACATCTTGCGCTATCCTGAGGCGTATAACAGACTTTGCTTCGAGATCCGCTCGGCCTTTGTCAGTGACGAAGAAATCACAGGAGCGCGCCTTGGCAGGCTGCCATTCCTGAACGCCTGTATCCGGGAAACCCTGAGGTTGCTTCCACCCGCAAACGGCAAAACGGCACAGCGTACTGCTCCCTCATGCACCATTAATGGGGTGCACATCCCTGCCGGTACCACGGTCTCCGCTGATCTTTACACAATCCAAAGGTCGTCGGAGTATTTCGCAGATCCCGCCACGTTCCGCCCCGAGAGATGGCTCGATGTTGCGGAAGATAGCGAGTTCAAGAGGGACAACAGGGCCGCTTATCGTCCTTTCCTCATTGGAAGTAGGGCATGTATCGGCAGGGAGATGGCGCAGCAGAGCATCCGACTTATTGTTGGAAACTTGCTTTGGAAATACGACTTTCAACAGCTGGATCAGGACGGGTTTGTTTGGGAGCGCGACGCCGGCAGTAGCCTCATTTACACGGACTACAAGGTCATGGTACATGTGATGAAAGCCAGCGGCAGATCATAACGTATCCAAGCATTATCACGCTGACTTGATGTCAATCACTAATCCGGCGCCCTCCCGAATCTCGAGAAACCGTGCTACAATGGTATAGAGGAACCCCACGTTGACCTTTCGGCAACCGTAATACTTGTCGGTGTCATGGCTTGAATGTCTACGCTGTTTCGCAGCTGTGCTAGAACCCCGTGGTATCACAGGGTCGTTGGACACATCGTATCGACGAAATGGCAGCAGTCCACCCCCTGGAGGCGAAAATGCCTCACGTTGACTAGGGTTCAGTCCTGAGGGTGTGTGATATATTCAAAAGATGGGCTTCCTCGTATTGGGCAGGCTATTAGCTCCCGGCGTCCCGTGCCGCCGCGGCCGTTACGCTGGCGCTCGGGGAGATCTTTGCAGTAGCGCAAAATCTCATTGGCTTCGGATATACTAGCCACATGCGAAAGGCGCTTAGTATCAATGGGTTCAAGGGGTGCCACCGCCAAGCTGCATATTCCAGGCAGCGATTTATCATTTCATGGTGATGAAGCTGTGATTAGCGTAAGAACGGTCAGCGTCACGTTGCACCGATGATACCCTACCTACTCTACATTAGCAAGGTGTTATCTTTGAGAATTCCGGCTACGTAAGCTTCCGATGCACTCCTGTGGATGTGAATACTTGGCTCTGAAGTCGGATACGTCAGTTGCTAGGCCGCTTCTCCACCTAGATAGAGACTGAGACTCATGCAGTCATCCTTATGTCGGCTATGGCTGTGGGTCTATGGGCCCGTTCCCAAAACGAGACATACGAGAGTGAGCTTTAAGCCTTCGTATTTTGGGGAACTCTGTCCAGGTCTCGATGCAGTCAGCAGTTTTGACGAAGATAAGGATGATGCCCTTAGGCTCCAGGACGCTTGGGGGTGGGGTTGGGCCTAGGTATAGAGGTATTGTGACGGTCGGGTTTTCAAACGGGGAAACTAGTCTGTATTAGGTTTCTGTTTACAGGATGTATAGGGTGTTATATCAATTATATTAAGTTACTATATCTTTTAATAATTAAGTAATATATATTAAGCTTGTTAACATAAAGAAGTTTTATTAATAGCTAGTAAGTCTAGTCCTATAAAAGTGTTAATAAATATAGTCTATATACTTAAAGTCATTATATTAGGTTGTTTAATAATTACTAGGAATTAAAGATCATTATAACTCTATAATATGTAACCAAAACTTTCTCCCTTGGAGAACATGGCGCTGTTGATCATCGGCTAACACCCGAGCAGTGAGTGGGACCGGGTAGGCTAATCGACTTAGCTTGCCGACGGTTAGCAACCCGATAGCGCTACCGGTAGTGACAAAGGCGTTACCGACGGCTGGGCAGATAGCCGGCCGTATAGGGTATGGTTCTCCCTGTCGGCAAACGCGACATATCGACAAAAATACCGAAATATCGAGGGACTGTATTGAAGACGTGAAGGAGATACCCCAAGAAATGTTCATTTCAATTACTGACGAGGGTCCTCACAACATTCTGGATCTGTCAAATAATTTTGATTGCACTCATCTATGCTTGATAGACACCAGTAGCAATGGTATGAGCCGTTTTTTTTCATTACCGTTTCCTCGACATGAGCGCTGATTAGCACGATACTTCGGATTAAACCAAAAGCCTGCCGAGATAATTGGCATCACTGCTACGAAAGAGGGCGACTTCTCACAATGGTATCAAGAAGTGGTAGTCAAGGCCGGATTGGTCGAGTATTATACAGAAATTGCTGGGCTCTTTGTTCTCCGCCCACTGACCATGTTCATTTGGAGCGAGTTACGCAAATGGTTCCAATGCCATCTCGATGAGATGGATATTGGGGGAACAGCATTTCCTCTCTTTCTGTCGGCCAAGTCACTGGCAAAGGAAAAGGACCACATTAAAGGCTTTGCACCAGAACTGGCATAGGTAACAAAAACGCAAGTCAACGAATGCTGTCCAAAGACCAGCGCTAACACTTCTCAGCGGCGAAAAGAACCTGGAAGTTCCCGTAACTATTCGTCCGACCTCTGAGGCAATCATGTATCCCTATTACAGGAAATGGATCAAAAGTCACCGAGATCTTCCATTGCGACTCAACCAGTGGAACTCTGTTGTGCGTTGGGAAACAAAACAAACGACACCCTTCCTGCGCACCCGCGAATTTCTCTGGCAAGAAGGTCATACCGCTCATCTAACGGAAGATCAAGCGGGAGTAGAGGTTCTCGAGATCTTGGAACTGTACGCACAGCTCTACGAAGATCTTCTGGCGGTACCCGTTGTGCGCGGTCGAAAGGCGGAAAATGAACGATTTGCTGGGGGGTACTATACATTGACCTTGGAAGGATACATCCCATCCAACGGACGAGGTATCCAGGGAGCTACCTCACACTGCCTGGGTCAAAACTTCAGCAAGATATTTGACATCTCTGTCGAGGACCCAGCCGGCCCGGGACGCATCCATGCCTGGCAGAACTCGTGGGCCTTTTCTACTCGAGTCATCGGCGTTATGTTTATGATCCACGGCGACAACAAGGGCCTGGTTCTATTGCCACGCGTCGCTCAGATCCAAATCGTGATGGTTCCCGTCGGCATCAACAGGAATACTTCAGCAGAAGACAAGGACCGTCTGCTGGACGAGCTGTACGAGATGCTCAAGACGTTGAAGAAGTCGGGGCTTCGAGTAGAGATCGACACACGTGAGGGATACACCCCAGCGTGGAAGTTCAATGACTGGGAGATGAAGGGCGTTCCCCTGAGAATAGATTATGGACCAAAAGACGCAAAGACGTATGTTGTCAGCTATGCATTCAGGCACAACAACGAAAAGGGGACGATGCCTGTTGCCGAGATTACGCCCCAGGCGTCCAGGCTACTCGATCAGATTCAGAAGGATATGTACGCCAAAGCGAATTTGGCATACAGCCAGCACCGCAAAGTCATTGAGAATTGGGACGAGGTCAGTCCTGCCTTGGACATCAAGAATGTGGTCCTGATTCCATTTTGTCTTGATGGTAAATGTGAAGACCGGATCAAGCAGTTGACGACCAGGGAACTGCCTCAATGGGAATGAAGAGCTTGTGTATTCCGTTTGAGCAGCCTGGAGAGATTGAGGAGGGGCGCAAGTGTTTGAACCCAGAATGTGGCAGGTTGGCGCAGAAGTGGACGCTTTTTGGGAGAAGCTATCAAATGAGCGACGGTATCGCAAGGGTAAGATCAAACTCGATAAACACAAGATTAGAAAAGAAGAAGACCTCTAGAGTCCAAATCTATTTGAGCCAATATACTCACCAGTCAAGATTTCTCAATGCGGGTCTCACAATCCCGCACAAGCCAGATCAAACTTGCCGGGAGTGTGTTATCGGCTAGCGTTTCCATCACCGCTTATGAATATGCAAATTACCAATGATGTTAACTAACCACGGTGATTTAAAGCTGGTATGCGGATCATTCCATCCCCGAACCTCTCGTATCTCCTTCATGCCTCGCTTTCCGTCTCCCTTTCATGGTAGCCTTACACCAGAACGCGGATCGAGACCCTTGTTCGCCATCAAGACTCGTGGTTAACGTTTCACTGGGCGAGCTATGGTGGGAGCAAGTGACGAGCGCGTGTTTGCAGTTCAAGATTGGCCCATGACCCCCTTGGTTTGTGCCGTGGTAGTTTGGTCCAGGCCAGCAGGCGAATCCTCTGGATTTCGAAAAGCATCTGAGCCATGAGGTTACTGATATCTACTCCAGCCTCAAAGATCTGACCTTACTACTGACAGGGTAGATGACGTTGAATGGGCAGAGATTGGCAAGATCTTCAACTTGGGAGGTGATAGGTAACAGACTATTGGGACTTTTTGTTGGTGTAGATCTGGTAGTGCTTTCTGCGATGGGACATAATGAATGCCTATCTGATGTTCTACAGACATACTGGTTTGCTTGGTTGGAATAAATAAATGTGGTCTAATCTAGATTTCCAGCGTCTCGGGCATCCCATCTCCATTCGACAGCATTTTGCGAACAACCTCAACACTGAAGATGAGTTAGCGTTGAATAGCCTGGATTATGAATCGGGATGAATAAGAAACAGACTTACGTCGCAAACGTTCCCGCTGAAACTGGCATAGCTCGCAGTAGCGCAGGACCAATACCCTCGAACAACCCAGAGACACCACCGGTTCGCCAAGTCTGTCGAATAGCCTCTCGCATGGTCTTGTACTTTTGATCGTTACCAAACCCATCGCTCTGCATCTTGCTCTTGATGACATCAAGAGGATGGCTCAGGAGCCAAAGAAGCTCTCCAGCAAGACCGCCGCATACGGCAAACTTCCAGCTCTCAATCTCGCTTCGCTTCTTACCCTCCATCCTTACGACATGCTGAACGAGACCCTCGTACGCGGCGAACCAGACTCCGTAGCCGTGGAATTCGCGAAGAATGGTGACGGCCTGGCCGCGGTAGATGCCTGAGATGCCCTCGTGTTGCCAGATCTTTCTCACGCAGTCGGATACCCCAGAGTAAAGCTTCTTTTCACCGTGGGGCTGTGTTTGAAGTCGGATTCTGATGTGCTCAATTGGGCCAGATATGACGCTGTTCGTGATACCTGCTAAGCCACCAGCGAGGTAAACCTGGCCGAGAGACAACGAGCCTTTATGGTTAAAATGTTGCTGCTTGTTGAAGTTGTTAAACTGTTGACTGAAATAGTGAAAGGCACCAAATTGAATGCTGACCTATGGAATCATTAATAACCAGTCCTCAAGAGTTATGCGGGGAAGCTTGTCTAACGCAGGCACCGACTCCGAGGAGTGGTGGTAAAGTGCCCTGGGTGAGTGTTCAGTTAGCAAATGTTTAATAACAATATGGTAACAAGTGCGTTTCCTAACCTTGTAGAAAGACCGTGGTCCTTCTACACTCCAGATCTTTCGAGTGACATCTAATGCGTCGCCACCGTATGCTTGCAGTCGCACCTTGACGATGTCTACAACCGTGGGTGAGAGATGATTTCGAGAGCTGAATATGGAGTATCATACCGAATGGTTGCCCTGTTCATACATCATGAGTGAGTGTCATGTTCGTTCGTATATGCTTTCTGGAATATTTACCAATCAGAACCTGCGCAGCGCCTCCCATCGCCCCCGCGACAATATCTCTGACTGTGTCTGCCATGGCTGTTTTGCGTGTGTTGCTTGCAGGGTTTCGTTGGTTTCCAGATTGAAACCTTATGGGCGGCATCTGATAATACAGCGGAACCGCACCCACGAAGTCGGCAACATGCCGAGACCATACCGGAGCCGCGTGGCATTCTGTGATCGTTTTTGGTTGTCAGAGTGCGGGGGTAAGATAGGCAAGATCGGGATTTGTCAGGCACAAAGCATCGGGTATCTGCCGCCAACTCCGTCGGCTGTTTACCGGGACAGGCCCTCCGGTCCAGCCATTTTCATATCTCGGGCACATTGACCGAGAGGACGTTCGATGCTAACTTGGTGGTCAATTGTACCTTCCAAGAGATTGCCAGCCTGGGTGGTTTGGATCTGCGTGCGGTGTTGTGGCATCACGGTAGTTGCCGCCGGTACTGATCGAACCCGATGGCGGACTCGTAAGAGACTTATGGTTTTCTTTCATTCGGGGTCATTCTTAACTCACATTCTTTTAAGTAGTAAATTGTTCTCCAATTCACCCCTCGCCCTTCTTTCTTTGTCGAGACACATACTTCTCCAATTCACAAAAATGGCCTCACACATGATGCTGAACGTCCGTCAGGCTATTCGCCGTCAGGCAGCTCCTCGACAGGTCACTATCCGTTGCCTGGGAACCTTCAGGGTCCCTCCAATTCGAAATGAACCCAATGTCCACACCCCTACACAGCGTCGCCCATGATCAATCATACTGACATGTTTATAGCCTACATACGCAAAAGGTTCCCTGGAGCGCCAAAAGTTGCAGGAAGCTCTTGATAGCCTCAAGCAACGTCTTCCAATCAAAGTTCCGCTCAAGATCAGTGGCCAGAAGGTACGCTTTTCCATTCCACTGAATTGCCAGGCTAGAGGCTCAATTGACTAAAAATTCATTTCCGTACAGGTCGCCTTCAAAGCCACTGGTTCTCAACCTATTCCCTCTGCACATGCCACTACCCTCGCCGAATATGCTACAGCGACCCCTGATCAGGTTTCGGAAGCCATCGAGAAGGCTATGGCCGCGAAAGAGGATTGGGCCAACACTTCGTTTGAGAACCGAGCGGCTGTGTTTCTCCGAGCAGCCGAGCTGATTGCTGGAAAGTACCGATACGAGATCATGGCCGCCACCATGCTCGGACAGGGTAAGAACATTTGGCAGGCCGAGATCGATTCAGCTGCCGAGAGTTGTGATTTTTACAGGTACTTATCATCACCCTAGTCGGTAGCGGATGTGATTAGGAAATGATGATTAACTGTGGACGCAGATTCAACGTGCACTATGCCGCTGAGCTGTACAAGCAGCAGAACACAATGAACGATGCTGGAGTCTGGAAGTAAGCTCAAAACCTCAGTGATCATTCCAACACTACAAGCGTGCTAATGGACCATTTATAGCAAGATGGAGTACCGCCCCCTGGAAGGCTTCGTCTATGCTATCAGCCCCTTCAATTTCACAGCTATTGGCGCCAACCTGACTGCTGCACCAGCCATCATGGGTAACGTCGTTATCTGGAAGCCGTCGGACAGCGCCATCTACGCTGGCTACGTACTCCAGAAGGTCCTTGAGGAAGCCGGTCTCCCAGATGGTGTCATTCAGTTCCTCCCCGGTGACGCCGAGAAAGTCACAAAGGCTGTTCTTGAGCACCCCAAGTTTGGTGCTCTTCACTTTACTGGGTCCACTGATGTCTTTCGTGATCTCTACGGCAAGATCGGTGACGGAATCCGGTCCGGCCTCTACCAGAGCTACCCTCGTGTTATCGGAGAAACCGGTGGAAAGAACTTTCACCTCGTCCACAACAGCGCTGATATCCGAAATGCTGTTGTCAACACCGTCCGTGGAGCCTTCGAGTACCAGGGACAGAAGTGCTCTGCTACGTCTCGTCTCTATGTCCCCGAGTCTATTTGGCCCAAGTTTAAAGAGGAGCTGATCGCAGAGACGAAGAAGCTCCAGGTCGGACCCCCGGAGGACTTTAAAAACTTCATTGGTCCTGTCATCCACGAGAGGTCCTGGGAGAAGCTTAATAAGGTCATCCAAGACGCCAAGACAGACAAGGAAGTCGAGCTCCTTGTCGGTGGCTCTACTGATAAGTCCAAGGGCTGGTTCATCCAGCCCACTATCTTCCAAACCAAGAATCCTTTGCACAACCTCATGAAGAACGAGCTATTTGGACCTATCCTCTCCGTCTACGTGTACCCAGATGCCGAATATAAGCAGACTATGGAGTTGATCGACAGGTCTACCAAGTTTGCTCTTACCGGCGCCGTCTTTTCCCGCGACCGGGCCGCCATCGCTGAAGCCGAGAAGGCTCTTCGACAGTCGGCTGGCAACTTTTATGTTAACTGTAAGAGCAGTGGCGCCGTTGTTGGTCACCAGCCCTTCGGAGGTGGTCGGGCTTCGGGCACCAACGATAAGGCCACCAGCACTAATCTCCTATCTCGTTTCACAAGCATCAGGAGTATGAAGGAAGATTTGGTTGGTGCCGACGAGGTTCAGTACCCTTCTAACGAGGTATAAAAGTTCAAGATCTGATCTGCAACTCGAAGCGACTCCTTTGGGGAGACTATTTGTGGAATCCAGGAGTGAATCACTGTAGAGCTCTGTCCTTGGCTGTTGGGTGCGGAAGTGGTGTATAATCTATCATGCTCGTTTCATCTTGGATGTATGCAATATGTGTTTGTAACGAAGAGAGTTGGTTGAAGATAACCTCTGATTGTCACTCGTAGTCCCGACAATGAGTTAAAAGGTCTATACATGGACAGCATAATGAAACAAAACACGAGGCTCGGTTTGCTGGATTTGCTTCGACTTTTTCACAGTCTTTGGATTGCGAGCTGTCACTCGAAGAATTTCCAAGTCTTATCATTTCACCTGTGTCATAGATCAGGTGCGATAGCAATTACAAAAGTTGAGCT